CATCTAAGTAAAATATGTTGAGGTTCAACGAAATTTATTCGATGAAGATACTCTCTCTCATGATGACGAAATAAAAAAATTGTAACGAATATCACTAATTCTAAAAATAAAAAGTAAAATATGAGTAGATTTCTGTAAATGCACAAATGTTTACTTTCGCTTATGGGTAAAAGATGGCGGTACGATTCAAATTTGTAAAATCATCTGTGCAAACAATAATAAACAAATACAAATATTATGTCATAAAGATGAAAAAATTCAGAGAAATGAATATCATTAATGATCTCAAATAAAATTGTCAAAAATTAGATCAGTTATGATACACACAGTGAGTTTATCTAGAGTCTTCCAACTCCTATTTTGAATCATTCCTTATCATATAAAAATATTCAAACTACATCTACTAGTAACGTTTTCAAACTAGAAGGATGTTTATGGAATATTCCTTCAGAAGTGTCTCTTAGTTCTTTCTATGTTTTTATACCACTTGTATGTGTAACTGATGTTAGGTATTGCAGTTTCGTCCTACAAGGGATCTTTCAAACGAAACTGCAGTAACGTTAGTTACAGATACAAGTGCTATAAAAACCTATGACGTTTCAATTCTCATTTTTCATGATGATCTCACACCACTTTCTAACGGTTACAACCATGTAGTATTGGGAAACCTCCTTCAATAGGTCTCTCAATTATCTATCCAATAGTGGTTTACTATTGGATATAGATCAGCCTCTCCAAATGGATCAGCCTTTTGAAAGAGTCTGCAAACTAATGCTGAATATCATAATTTCATTCAGTTCATCTCTCCAGTTCATCTCTACAAATGTCCAATATATGCGTTCTGAAAATGAAGTCTGTTTACGAATCATTTCTTGTATTGTGAAATATGTGTGACAGAATATCATTGATAACACCTCTTGTTCTACATACGACTTCTAAAACGTACACTCTAGATTCCATGTATCCCCTCAAGAAGGCGTTATATCAGGTAATCTAGCGGGCCAAGTTGGATCATTAACAAACCCATAAAAAAAATTCAGGACTGTGAGAGATTGCCAAATGACTTTGATTCATTTGCAGAAATCTGTGGCAATAGCTAGCTGTACCTACATTACGAGAAATGCTTCAAAATATCTTGTACCAGAAATACAAATCTCATTAATAGGAAATCATACAACTAAAATAATGAATGCAGTACGCAATTTAGGAGTGATAATGGATTCCATAATGATTTTTAAATCTTACGAAGAGAAAATCGTCAACATGTGTATCTAATCTTTTGAATGGATCCATTATTAGAAATACAATTCATTTCAGAAACGCAAAAACTCTGCTGGATCTATATTACTATTATATCTATAGTCCTCTGAACTTTGCATGTGTTATTTGTAGTCTGCAATTTACGATTTATCAACAGAAAATATTCTGTGTTATCTTTCATAGATGGAAGAAAAATGTCAGATATTTTAATGTTGTTCAAAATACTTAACAATCGTGTCCATTGTCCAAAGTTGATAACAAAAATGTCATTGAATATACCTTGCAGAGACCTGCGAAACCGATTCAGGTAAGAACCCTCCTTTATGCAGAGATTCAAAAACAATGTGGAATCTTTTTTTATCAACCTTTCATATTTGTTACTAGTGTAATATACTTGGCATTTATATATTGTTNAAAATTAATTTCAGTTCAAAAATTCATATGATTCATTATTGAACTTATTGAAGTGAAACCCATATTCTGATATGAAATAAGCTGTTTCACACTCTTCGGAGTTACAACCGGAAAGTCTAACAGTTCAATTAACCATCCTTTGAAAGTAATAAAGAAATAATTTTTTGAAATCATTCATGCGAAACATTGTGCAGTATTTACAATAAATTTTCCAAACATATCTTCATACAGTGTGTAAAAGCCAAATGGTATAAATTTATTATTTCGGTTACTGTACATATTTAACAAAATGCCGAAACACGTCAAATTTGAATTATAATTGGAAATACTTCAACGGAAAAAGGCTACCCCTACCTTCAACCTCCATCGAATGACATTTTTTTAAATAGGAAGTATAGGCTTGTGATATATCTTTTGAAAGGTATCTTCATTCTCTATTCAAAAATGTTATCTTTTTTAAGTTTATTGCAACAATTTTGAAATGAAATGGATTAAAATCATGTGGTTATAGAGATTCGATAAAATACACTCAAAACTTATTGCAATATAATCAAAACTTATTTCATGTTGAGTAAGAAAGTAACCAAAAACCATAGCAATGTTCTCTTTAGAGAACCGTGTCAGTATTTTAATTCAAGTTTAAAGTTCGTTAACTTCCAGTCTGACAAATGACTAGATTAACGGAAATGCAAAAAATTACAGTTTTCTAAATGATGGGTTACGGAGATAAAACCTGAACACAACAGGAAGTAGCTCGCCTATTTCATGAGAAATTTCCCAATTTACCGCCCATATCTCAAAGAATGATAAGCAAAATAGGGCAGCAGTTTCACGAGCTTAGTCTATGGGGCAGATAAAAAAAACAGCTGCCAATGCGATTGAGTGATGAACTCAAATTAGTCGAGTAGACAGGCATTCAATACATTCAATGTTAGCCATACATCGATAGTAAACATATTAAAATAAAATAAAATGCATCCCTATAAAATAATACCTACTCCGGAGCTCATGGAAGACGATTTGATATGTTGGATAACAATATCATCCAATTAGAAGACGGTATGTTTTCTGAAGAGTGTACTTTGTCTCTTAACGGTCATGCAAGTCGGCAAAATTGCCGCTACTGTTTTACGGAAAATCCTCAACATATGAGAGAAGAACACACGCAATACCCTCCAAAGGTTAATGTTTGGGCAGGGATTATAGAAAACCGTATCATTGGTCCCTTTACCATTGAGGGCAACTTGAGTTGCGATAATTATTTGGCACTTCTTCAAAATGGTATGTCATTCTAAGTTTAGCAAATTTATATCCTGATCCAGGAAACCCTCAAGTTCCACTGAATACGATATGAATTCAGCAGGATGGAGCACCACCACATCACCAAGTTAATGTCCGGCAATACCTCGATACAACATTTCCCAATCGGTGGAAAGGGAGGCGACGATCGATTGAATGGCCAGCGCGATCACCTGATCTTTCATCATTAGATTTCTTTTTATGTGGAAATGTGAAGAGCAATGTGTACAAAACTGAACCCCTAGATTCGAATTAATTAAAATAACGAATTACGCTTGCGATTAGGTCGGTCATGTCTGATATGTTAAGGCCGCCATACACTGCAATGTTGCCCGACAATTTTAACCGTGACGAGTGAAATTGTGCGTGCAAAATTGTAGGGACGAAGCGTTCATATATTGTCAGGTCAAAAAGCCAGTTCGCAGGTAGTTTGGACAGCGACACGATGAAACGAGCACATAAACTGGCAGTGGCAGCGGCATTAGTGATAAAAAGGCAAAATAGAAAAAATCGTCGCAGGTGGTCCAAAGATTGGCTGCTAAAAAGACAGCAATGTTCACATAATAATTTGTTAACTTTATTGAAGTTACAAAAAGACATAATTCAGTTATTCTATTTTCAACATGTCGTTTAATTATTTCAGCAGTTTTCATTTTCAGCACTTCATAATTTCACAGTGATTTAATTTCATCTGTTCTAGCATAGAATTCATGCCTTTCCGTTTTGGACAATGGAAGTCCAGAAACATTGTCAAGCACCTTCAAACAATCTTAGTTTCAACGTCACCACATTGTTTAGCTTCGCTCTTTGTCTATAAAAATATTTTTGTCATTATACTTCTTTGAAATCACCTTATTTTCAGTTTAACCATTTCAAATGTGCAACAATTTCACCGAGTACGGGTTGAAAATTTGAAAATAGAAGTTAACACAGTTAACTTCTCCTGAGTGTAATTTTATAACATAAATATCAATATATTTTTTTATCTCCAACATGTTCAAACTGTGAAAACCCAAATAACTGTTCAATTTGTTGGTATTACAATTAACAAATGAATATTTGGTTTCTTTCCAAAAAAATGAACAATTCCTTACATAAACATAGAAAATATCCCATATATTTTTATTATCACCTGTTGTGAATGTTCCTGTTCTGCTAGTTCCTGATCACTTTCAATATTGGATTGGCTCTGACGCGGAACTTCTTGGTCCTCTAAAAACTGGAAATGTGTAAAATACCACAAATGTGGCTCATATATTGCGTCACTTCCTACGCCGGATTTTTTTATATCTATTACTTTCTTCCTTTCTTTTTTTACTGATCCTCTCATGGAATCTATTTTCTTTTTAACAGTCTCCTTCGTCGCATCAAGGTCTACCTGCTGTACTTTCGTCACTTATTCCTGGTACGCTTTGTTTTTCATTATTTTGTTGCTATATTCTTTGCAGTTTACATTCCACAAACAGGGGTGACTTCTATATAACTCAATAAACTCTATTACAAAATCTTTGCTCCAAGTTCTTGTATCCATGTTTTTGCAAGAAACACACTCTTTTTAAACGAGTTTTCGCTGTCGATGAATGACGGTTAAGATTGCTATGCCCACACACACGTCGACTTGCACGAACCTGTTGACACGTACGTGTAAAATTATGGTGGCGACCGTAATTCAAATTGCTGAATAAGATTGTCAGTACTACGCCACACACTGCAATTTTGCACGCACAATTTTACTCGCCACGGGTAAAATTGTCGGGCAACATTGCAGTGTATGGCGGCCTTTAAACAATGTTAGAAGACAGTTTTATTTGAGATAAGGATGTTGCCAAGACGTTCGCGGTGAACATTTTGAACATCTACGTCATTAACATCCATAGTTCTTTTTCGTATTCTACATTTCATTACGTTTTGCATCAGATACATTTTAGTTTTTGAGTGTATTTTATCGAATTTCGTTAACCACCTGATTTTAATTTATTTTATCCTAATTTTCGCAATAAATTTGAAATCGATAACATTTTTGAATAGAGAATGAAGAGGCCTTTCAAACGATATATCACAAACCTATACTTCTAATTTAAAAAATGGGAGGTTGAACCTGTCATTCGAAGGGAGTTGACGGTAGGGAATGCTTTTTTGCGTTTAAGAATATCAAATTATATTTTACATTTGACGTATTTGGTTTTTTTTTTAATATGTACAATAACCGAAATAATGAATTTACTCCATTTGGCTTTTACACACTATATATCTCAACTCTCTCGAAGTGTTCACGACAAAGGCAAACATTTTCTGATAACTATGAATACTAGTGTTCTAATTGTTGGTGATAATCTGCGTCGAACTACCAATCAGTAGAATTATTATTTTGTTATTGATTATTCCAGTTTTTATTTACACGTATATTCTTCAGTTCTTTCACTACAAGTATCGCAGTCAACTCGACAACACCAAAGGAATTTACAATTACATTGGAATGTTCTGGTGAACTGATGCGTGTTGTATCCCCTGCCGCAGCACATCAGGTCACAACCGTCCGTTCCTGCAACAAAAAGGAATGTTATCTGTATAAAGAAAAGCTAGTGTGGCAAATAATTTCATGAAAATCGCCGTTCGATGAGTATGTATGCATAAAGGGTTAAAAAAATAAGGTGAATTTTAATTTTTCCCAAAATATATTTATTTATTCATCAATTTTCATTTTGTCCTCTTAACAGTAGTCCCTCTAAGATATAAAACATATAACACAATCGTGTCAGCGCATTTTCCAATCCTCAAAACAGTTCTGGCATGCACTTTTTGGTATGTACTTGAGGTATCTGAGCGATTCGCTTTTTATCTCCTCAACCGTCGCAGAACGCCGTCCTTTCATGGGTCTAGTACAATCTACTTAGCCTGCGAAATTTGAAGAGACCTTGTATATTCTATTGTATCATTTTGTAAATGACACTGGCAGATATTATGAAACATATAAAAAAATTTCTTCTTGAACAATCAAGTTCCATAAAATTTTCCGCAATTTTCTTCGCATGGATTTCAGTTTACGGATTTTCTGGTAGCAAAAATTTCTCACGTATTTGCCTATCTTCGAATTACAAAAAATTCAAAAACTAAACCAAAGGTTCAGCCGATTGAACTGATCAGAATTTTTTAGTATTTTTGTTCAACAAAAACTTGACGTGATTCATTACATTGGCATAACTTTTTTTATTTATGAACCTATTGTAATAATTCAACTCCTAAATGTTAAGTGAAGCTTACCACAATACTTTGATGAAAACTGCAGCTAAATTCGTAAAGCCGTTACTGAAATTATCTCTTAGACAAAGTGATAAATGGACAGCAATTTTATGAACCATTGTTTCGAGACCTATTGCGTTAAGAAATAACCCCAGTAATATAATCGAATAACATTTCGCGAGTTTTCCACTGAACGGTTTACAAAACCGCTACACGTGTTTCATTACACGAGAGATACCTCAGACGTGCTCATATGCGCGTAAGCACACCTATTGTAAAGTGAAACACGTATTGTTTCGTGAACTGTTCAGTGAAAATCTCTCAAATCTCTTCCTAGATTCGACAAGATGAAAGTGTCGTAGAGCGTCCCACTTTACAGTCGGTTTTCTGGGAAAGGCACCACCCACTATTCTTACATTAGAATCCACAATACCGCAAATCTTCCAAGTTTATTATAGAACAGTCGCTTTGTTATCAGTGATATCAAAAATCATGAAGAAGGTCGTAAACCACCATATCCTCAAATATTTGGAAGGCTTCAACATCTTGAGCGATCATCAATATGGCTTTCGGAAACAAAGATCAACAGGCAGCTTCTATCGTATGTCACTCATATTTGGAATAACGCAATCAAGAAATATGGAGAATCAAGAGCTGTTACGCTAGATATTTCTGAGGTCTTTGACCGTGTGTGGCATGAGAGTTTGCTGACCAAATTTCGATGCTATGGCTTGTTGAATCATTTCTGTGTATGGCTCCCCAGCGTCCTGAAAGAACCTTCCCTGCAAGTGGCCGTCGATGGATATCTCTCGAATACACATCGAAGGCACATCTTCACCGGCAGCAGGAGGTTGCATATCTTAATTAGGATCTTGAAGTGGTTTCGAATTGGGATGAAAGTAACCAGGTTCAATTCAACGTCACAAAAACCCAGGCATCAGTTTTCTCCAAGAAGATAAATGTCTCCGAACCCGATATAATAATGTCAGGTCAGACCGATTCCGTTTTCTGCTTCGATAAGTTTGTTGGAGGTTAATATGGACACCAATATATCTTGGCAAAATCATGTCGCTGGAATTGCAAAGGCTGCTTTCCAATAACTTGAAACACTGTTCCCAACCAGAAAAATATACACACCTCAGTTACTGATGCTTCATGAAGCTCAGATCAGAACTGCTTTGGAGTATTGTTCTCATGTATGGAGCTCTGCCTCCAAACATACCCTGAAGCTGCTGGATTCCATCCAGAAAAGGGCCAACCGCTTGATTGGAGACGCAAACCATGTGCAACCTTAATAGCCTGGAACACCGAAGAAAGGTTAGAGATTTGTCTCTCTTCTATAGATACTTTCACGGGAGGTGTTCAAGTGATTTGGAACATGTTATTCCACGTAGAGCACTACATATCAGAAATACGCGATTGTGTCTGCTCATCGTTTTGAGGTTCTACTCAGTACACCACGAACTTCACTGTTTGAGAACTGTTCCATCTGAAGAACTGCGTTCATGTGGAATGAACTTTCTGAGAACGTTTTGCCAAAAGGATTTAATCCCCAGCGATTCAAATCCAATGTGAATCGCTACTACCGCACAGGCACCGCTCTGAGAGTGCCTTAGGAATTTTTTTGTAGTGCTTATGTTTTGTCTTTAAAAAAAGTGTTTCTGATAAAAAAAATTACATAGAAAAGGGTTAACCCTATCCTAACAGGGATAAATATGCATCTTTTTTTCGAACAAATTTCTGAGGAGATCTATTATTCATCCAGAAAAATCTACCAATTCAAAAGAAGAAGTAGAAACATCACTGAAAGCTAAAAATTTTCTGGCTACTCACCCCTGGAAGTTCTATTACACTGCCTGCCAACAGTGCCCAACGACCCCGCAGAGAGGTCTTTTTCGCAGTAGTTCGGCGACATCTGCAAATACACCAACTCTGACTTCTTTGGTAGCTTCTTCATGGGAACCTTTCCCTTGGTGAGTACCAGATGTTGCTTCTTCACTCTCCGGTGGTTCTCTAGAGCTCTGGGGAGCTGAGAGGTACTCGCCGCCACCGGCCTAGCTCTGTAGTATTTTTTCATCAAGCTGTCGCCTACTTGCCGAAATGTTGGGAGGGTTTTCCAACAGGTTTTCATGGTGCAGCTCCCTGAGACGCCATGGCATTTACACTCGACTATGAGATTTGATTTGATAGCCTGGAACAGGAGGAATTATTAATTTTCTGAAAACACTATCGGGATTGAAATATGTAATAAAGAAAGTATCGTTTCGGATTCGATTAATTTTCTGAAGATTTATTTTTAATGCTGGATATTCCTGACTATGAAAAGTCAAATAATCGATGAACGAAAGGAGTAGAAAGATGTGAAACAAAATAGGGATATTTTCCAGCAGAGATCAGTTCTTGGAAAAAAATTGCAAACTGAAAGAAAAAGCCACTTTCAAACATATGGCCATTGAGTTACACAATTTGTATTCATTATCATAATAATAATAATAATGATAACTTCATTCGTCTTTTCGATCATATACATGATATAAGACATGTCATAAATAAAAATATGAAAATTATATAAAACAATAATAACGGTCCACAGTATAACATAGATCTGACACTTGAAACAGGTACTTAACTATATACATAAATAAAAAATAACGCAAACACACATACACACATATATGTATACACATACATAAATACACATTAAGTAAATTTATCTTTAACTAGGATGAAACAAATGCAGTGAAAGCAATAATCATGATATCAGTGTATCCCGTTCTAAGAATTCTTCTACGCTATAATATCCCGAATTAGTTAATAGCAACGTTAAAGGCAACGTATTGAATAATTTTATGCCATTATATGCAAGTGATTCCTTGAATGTCGATGTTTTATGTTTTGGGATAGTTAATAAATATCTATTTCGTGTTGCATAGTTATGAACTATTGATTCATTTCTCAGATTGGGTACATTATTTTTCACATGAAGCAGAGCTTTATATATATAGATACAAGGTAACGTTAGCATCTTGTTCTTGCAGAAAGTAGGTCTACAGCTATCCCTGGGTGCAATATTAAAGATAGTTCTAATTATTTTTTTTGAACAATAAAAACAAGTTTCGCCCCCACAGAAGAACCCCACATTAATATATTTTGAGCCATATGTGAGTACGTCAATGAATAGTAAACAGTCCTGATACCATTTAAACTAAGCACGTCTTTGATCTGTCGTGTTGCAAATAACGCTTGATTAAATTTTTTGCAGACATAATCGATATGGGGTTCCAAAGACAAGGTTTCATCTATAAACATACCAAGGAGTTTGGCTGTTTCCGAAAGTTGGATGCTGTTGAGTTTCACTTTTTTCCTCAACGCGAAGCTTGAATGTACTGTTTTACTTTCGTTCAGTTTTAGTTGATTTCTATCACACCAAGAAATCATGTCATCCATGACTGAATTAATGTTGTGTTCTAACTCCTCCACAGTATTTCTGGAAACTGTTCTGGTAGTGTCATCTGCGAATAGGATAATAAAACCTTGTTTTATATACTTCGGAAGATCATTTATATAGATGGAGAAAAGAAGTGGGCCTAAAAAGGACCCCTGTAGTACCCCAAGGATGATATCTTGAATATTAGATACTGCATTATTCACATTCACTACCATTTGTTACTCATAATAGTAATGAAATTCTGAAGAGATGAAACTGTAAAGCTGTCAATAATGAAATGAGTGATTGAACTGAGAAAGTGATTTTTTGATATGGAAGATGATGATGGAAATGAAGAAACGTATAGGTACATGAATTGAATTTGTTTCAATAGTATGTTATGGTAGACCTGATATGTTATGGTAGTATACAACATTTTCATTCAATTTAATTTTTCTTTCACGTGAAGGGATTTTACTACTCAAAATTATTCAACTTTCAAGGACACGAGTATAATCCAGATCATAAGATTTGTTTTGCATGTGCATATTTGCGTTTTCTCAAATATTCATTTGAATTTCTTATAATTTTAATGTTACCACCTGAATTTTTTTATCTTTCATCAATATCCATTACTGTTCACACGATTACCTGCGAATTATTCATTGTTTATTTTATTTTGGGTTGGTTGGTCTTTCAGTATCAGAAATTATTTATTTGAGTAGCTTGATTGGTTATTACTCATTAGTCAACATGTCTGACAAAATCCCATCAATTGATACTTTTACTTTTCAATTGTGCTTTTGATTCAAAAAAGTTGTATGACCCAATCATAATTGAAATTTAGTTGTTTCTGTAGTAAAAACCAAATGGATATTTTTTATTGGAATATTATAAACATCATTAATGAACATCAGTTACTATTTGAAGTATCAATAGATATGTCAAAAATCTTAGTTCATTCACCATAGGTGAATATAATTATTTATAGAAATATTTACTTTAATATCTGTCCAAGGTAAGTGGTTTTTCCACCAACGATGCAAAGTTGATTGAATCAGAGCTCATTCAAATGAGGTTTGGCCTCTACTTCTCCATCTTTGGACAAAATTTGTGTGAAACTTTCCAAAGAAGAAAACACCAAAAAAACTCTTCACAAAGGTATATATATGTAAACAGAGCATAGAAGTTGCATTTTTTTAGGAAGATGAAGAAAACCTTTTTTCCGCTAAAACTAATCTCTCTAAAAAATGTATCACATTCAAATCAGAGATTTCAAAAAACTTAAAAATTCGATTGGTTGTAGAGATATTCGAAATGAACCAAAATTCGACAATGATTAGAAGATACCGCGTTTCGATTACCAAGTCAGCATCAACAAAATGCATCATCTAAATGCTAACTTGCTTAGCTTAGCGGACAGTTCTATTCGATGGGTCAGCAAATTTTACTTTTTTCAGCAAACAGTCCATTTTTTCAGTTCAACTGCAACTGTTGAATGATCCCATTTTTTGAGTTGAAAAAAATATTTCTCTCATTCGGCAGGTAATTAGGGGCATTAATAAAGAAGAATTTACTTTCTCTGGCTGATTTGTGAGATTTCCAACTCTGATCAAGTCATTTACTGGTCTTACTGATCGGTTTATTATTACTGTATTTTCATAAATGAATGCTCATATCTCAGGTGTCACTTTGGTCGATATTCTTCTAGATATGGTACCAATTTCAAAAGTGTTCCAATTGTAAAATTCAACTAAGAACTGAAAATTATCATTTCAGTTAGCAATGAAGTTATCCTATATTCTTCAAGTACTCCTTTCAAGCTTCCTGAATGACTTGTTTTCAAATCATGAAACTTTCAATTTCATCTATAGTATGATATACAGGGTGGTTCATCGCGAACATTCCTAGCAAGGTTTTTCGTTTTGCATGTGAAAATGAGAAAATTCACAAACCTGTACTTTTATTTTTTGAATGACATATTCACAAATTGATTTCTTTGATCAGTACTTACGTATTATCTTATTAAATGTTGGAATTTCCGTCATGCATCTTCATACAATAGTACAGCAAATCTGTTTAGGCAAATGCTCCCTCAGCTATCTCTACTCTTTGCATATTTTTGTACATCTACTATTTAACTGAACATAAAATCTAATTGACGACTGATATTTGGTGGTTTACAAACCGTTTTCTAATCTGAAACGTATGTATGTTCACACAAAAAAAAATAAACCAATCTGTAGCGTTTTTGCTGGAACACTCTGTATATCAACCACTTAGGAGTCCAAGGATACCATTTTGAAAATAATACATTCTCCATCGTGATGACAGGCTTACCCGAATAGAAAATAAATATCTGACAAGAAAAAGAACAACACCCAGAATCTATGACTCATGCATGATTTCTATAAAATTATGATCTGCTAAATTATGATCAACAATTCATCTTGGTAGTTCGAAAACAAAGCAAAAACGGTCGAAAACCTGGAGGCGACTTCAGTGTACGAGTACATAATCATTCTCGTTCGTAAAGTGCGTAATGATCTTTGATTCATATAATCAAACGGTGCTTCGCATACCTTATCCGAGAAATTACCTGTCGTTAATGATTAGTTCAGACGAACATGCTATATGCTTAGGGTGTTTCTTGAATTTGTAATGGCGAGTCAAATTATGGCTTTGTTGGAGGTTTCTACTCGGAATATTTACGCAATTGATTAGGGTATTAACATTGAGTCTGTAAGAAATCATTCAAAAACGAAGACGATTCCCAGATAGACTTTTACTCAGAACTCATTTTCTGTTTCTTACAGCATTAGTCACATTGTCATACAGTGTGGTAAAATCAAATGGAATATGGAACAAAAATCATTTTCCGAGAAAGACCTTTCAAAGATCTTTTTTGGGAGTTTCACCATTCATAAACTGATGAAAATCAAAATTGTAATTAAAAGCTGTATTGGTATAGAAAGAGCAAAGTTACTGCGTAAATTCGAAGTATGTTCCATTTATCAGTAATCTGTTGTATTTAATAATTTTGCTCCTAGGAAGAGATGAAAACTTATACTTATCTCAATGTTTCGAAAGCTAAAATCTGCCTTCGTCTTCAGAATCGGAAAGAACTTTGACTGACCGGGAAGTCATCAAAAAAGTATTCCCAGCACCAGCAATCGGATGGACGTTTGAATCATCCCATCTAACAAAATATTCTGTAGAGGATGACATATTCCCAGCTCCAACCAAAAAAGTAATGAACAATATTTCACCCCTTCTCATAGTTTGGCGTGGGAAGACATCCTACACAACTTATCGAAATATCCACATCTAGTTGGAAGTCTTTCTTAGCGGAAAAACTTGAAAGGTTATTGAATAGACCTATCAGACGCATTGTCTTTTGCTCATCCCCCCAAATAATCGAACAATCAGAATGCTAATCAAACTGGCGAATAGGTGAGTTTGGCATTACTTAATTATCTAGTGGAGAGAATCACGATAAGGAGATTTTGGTAGATATATTTACTGACACTCAAGACGTATTTCTCGAAGCACTACTCAGATCTCGTCTGAAAAGGATATAGAATTCACCATGATAGCTGGATTTACGACATTTTCATAAACAGAACCACTACTACGGTTCTTTAAGATGAAGTCACCAGGTTCAAGGTCACTAATGCTTGCCTTCAGTCTGTCTGTAATCACTGCTGGTGACAATTTGTCGGAGGTCTTTGATAGCAGCTTACGCACACAACATGCATCTGTAG